AGTGATGCAACGATACAAAGGAATCACACGCAGGAATAGTTCTAGTCTTTCACTAGGTAAGGCAACAAATCTCGTCTATTCATATTTTTCCCTTGTACATGTACATCCTTTTAAACATTTAAATAAATTTATTAGAAATATCGAATACTTAACTCTCGTTTCTGCTATACTACACATATTTGATCACTGTTAAATGGCTTTAAAACAGAATAATTTTATATTATTGACTATGTATCGCGAACCCATCCAGATTTCCAATCTCTCGGTCATTTTAATGTAAATGCATAAAATGTAAATATCTAAATGTAAATGTGGTTCGATTAATTCAATATTTTAGAAAAATACCGGTGCACTAATTACATTATCAATTTTAAAATTTTTTATCTTCATTTTTTTCGCACAAAAACAGCTCCTTTGATCGTCCAGTATATATTTGTTGCCAATAAAATACGAGTATTATCCTTGTTGGATGCATGTCGATAATATGAAGTTATTATACTGCAATGATTTTTCACGTACATTGCAGTGATTTTTCACTTGTTACATATGACAAATGAAATGTTTATGAATTTAACAGAGAGAATTGAAATTTGCATGGGTGATTCCGATCCTTTAATAAATATGAAAGTAAAGAGAGAAAGAAAGACTCATAGAGAGAAAGAGAGACGAATGAAAGGAAGGACGAATGATTGAGAGAGAAAAAGAAGATATTGATGGCCAGAAAGAAACTGTGAAGCAACGTTGAATATTGCGGTATATAAATTAAGAATTAAACATAGCACTGAAAGTGCATGAATTCCGAAGCTGCATATTCGACATCTTCGAGCAAGAAGGCCCCTCGGATCAAGGAGGCCCCCTTTACAACATTCGACATCGTCGGATTGGCGAAGAGTCTCCTTTGCCAATGTTCGTGAACTGGAAAGATAGATAGAAATAGATAGAAATAGTAAAAAAAGAAAGGAAAAAAAGAAAAGATAAAAGGACGAGGCGAATCGCGCTCCAAAATTTGCAGTTTTATGCGTGTGGCTGAACAGTCGTCTATATTTTCTTTGCAATTTATATCAAATTCATATAATTCCACGAAATGATCAGACAACAATTATTCCCCGTAAATTACTCGCGATGTTCGTCTTCGCATTAGTACGATAGTCACGTTTAACTTACGTGATAAACGCGCGGCAACACGAAAGAGAGATACTATAATGTGCATCTCGCCGCGGGCGCGTCGCGGATAATGGGATAAAATGAAATTTTTTGCGCTTCACGCATTGCAAATTTTGGTGCGGCGACGATACCGATTTTGCGCCTCGCAAGCAATCGGAAATTACGTAAGATTTCGAAAGACATCCCCTTCCCTCGCACGGGAAGCGTGTCCATTCCTCGGTAGAGAAAAGAAGCAAGGAGGAGCGGAACCGAGGATCCGACAGGGACCTCGACCCCGCGTGTCGGCGTTCTCTCCTCGCCGACGATTTTGGCATATCGGCCTGGCTGCCGCCGGACCGATTTCCATCCACGGCACCCACCGGGGAGTTTGAACAGAGTTCCGCGCCTCGCGAGGTGTACCGTCGCAGGGACCGATGTTTTTGCGACTGCCTTCATTGCCGACGCACGTGGCCCCGTTTGCTTGTGTGACGCCACGGCTGGCGTATGTACCTATGCTATAACCCCGCGCCTACTAACTATTCGACACACGTCGGTCCGCACCGAACCTCGTGGACTTGATGCCTCATCGCGCGGCGTCAACACGTCGCGAAAACTTGCGCGCGCGGACGGAAAAAAAGAAATATTCTATTAGATCGCGTGCAAATATATGCATAACGCTCGATTTCACTGCACATCAGCTTCTGTCATATTTTAAGACTGCCACGCGGTGGAATTTATCGGAACTTACGTTCGAGATCGCAAAAGTATATATTCTCGAAGCTTCTTTACGCGCGTATATGCATACGTATATATTTTTGTGTTATATTTACATATATACATACACGTGGAGGAATTAAATGTAGAATACTATATTTTTATTTGAAATACTATATATATTTTACACACACACACACACACACACACACACACACACCATATATATATATATATATATATATATATATATATATATATATATATGCGAAAAATATATTTAGACTATATTTAATAATCGCAGCTATATTTAATTAATAGTAAAAGTATAAAAATAGTAATAATAAATAGTATCGATTTTTGTATGTTTAAAATGAAATACAGGAATGATATTCGAACCTTTTGCCTTTGAAATAATTTCGAAAAGTGAGACTTGTTCTTTCCAATTGACATACTGGCACAAGATAATGAAAACGAAAAACAAAAATGCAGAATATATTTGCATACATCAAATAGAATATTTGGTTTTTCCTTCTTTTTTTGTTTTTGTTTTTTGTATTGGATATATTAACTGTATTGTAAATTATTAAGATAATATTTAAAAGTTACAGTAAGGGGTAACAATAGGTTACTGTCAAATATGTATAAATAGGATTGTCTCAAATGGGAAGGATTTATTTTCGCTACTGTTTAGTATTTTTCGAATAATTTACTGAAGTAATGTATTGAATTATGAATTAAAGACTGACGTTGAATGCGCGTTTGAATTTATTTTTGAAATATATATGAATAGCGGAAAATTTTTATAAAATGTGGACACATCTATAATATTTCCTGTTACTAATAATGCATTATTTGATACTCTTATATAAAATAATCATATCATTTCAAATGCACGTTCGAATTTATTTTATCAAATAAAGCCAAGCTCTGAACTTGATGGCGATTTAAGTAGATAACTTTTAGCAAATTTTAACATTAATTGTTAATCATTAAATTATTCATAGTTCTGTGAATTCTGTATATTTGTCAAAACGTGCATGCACATTTATATAATGATCAAGTAACGAATAAATAAGCGTGAATACGTGAAAGTGCTTATATTTTCCTGATATCAATGAAAGACAATTGAGTTATGTATAATAGCAAATACATGGATTCGTTAAAATGTCAAAATAAATAGACTAAGAAAGAAGCAAAGAAAGTCACGTACGATTATTGGTATGCTAAATTTAAATTTTATATCGAGAAAAAGTGATCACAATCTATACAATAATTAATAATATTAATATACATACAAAAAATTCCAAATGTTTCGATTTATTTTTGAATAGTTAATATATTATAAATGTATCGGAGTTTATAATAATTAAAAAAAATGTCAATTCTTGTGATCAGAACAACTCGATAAATTCGTGTGTTGTTCACTCCAGGTGCTTACAATGCTGGGAGTTCTTTTAAATATTAATCGTCAAAAGACTAGACATTTTTAATATTTTTATTTTTTTAACATTAACTTTAATATTGAATGATAAAATGAAGCTATTTATTTTTTTTATACAGCGAATTCTATTCCTATGTGTATTTCACTTTTTGTGCATTCACTATATTGTGACTATTTTATCAATATAAAACTTAAACTTAGTATACTAATAACTATGCCTGATTCATGAAGATACTTGCCTCTTTTTTAATCCATTTATTTTTATGTATAATAATTTATTTTTGTGTACACGTGAAAGTCTTGCTGATTTTTCGGAGATTCCAATTGTTTTTTATTTTTGTTATCTGCATAAATATATATGTACTGCATCTGCATATAAATATATATATGTACAATTGGTATAACGAGGTCGTATCAAATCTATATATTCCATCAGTATCAATTGTGAGAGTGTGGAGTTTCACATCGTCATACATTTTTGTCATAAATGTGGCACAATACGACAATGTATAAAAGATCAAAGATAGTGTCAAGAGTGGCTTGACACATGACGCTATTCGAAGCAAGCGACAATCTGTTCAGATTAATGTGTTTTTTTCTTTCTTAGACCGTCTGTCTTTATGAAAATAAAAAGAAAATTCTTCGCATAACGTAATCCGTGTACTCTTCCTTAATTTTTCTATTAATTTCAAGCGATGTTTTATATGTTGATGCTGTTAGTATACACTGGGATAGTCTCAAATACTCAAATACAACTATTTGATTACTTGAATTTGTGAATATAAATTCGGTATCTGAAGATAATATCCAAATATTGACAGCATTACTTTATATCGTATCCTTTAAGCTTTCAAGAATCTTTGAATCAGTTAATTTTAACACGAATCCTGTTTTATTTATGTAATGTGTAATTTATATAAATTAAAGCGTTTCTGTATTATTTATAGGATGCCACAACGATTCTGTATGGAACATTTGGATGAGGATCAATTTGTATACTTTATTATGCTAAAAAATATATTTCTGATATTATTTTATAAATATTCTGATCATTGACGTTACATCGTTATTAAAAAAAAAATCGATAAATGAGCAGTATTTTTTCATCATGTTTATATTTAAATAATAATCGCATTTTTTATATACATATGAAAAGTCCCGTCTTTACTATTTAGAAAAATATAATTTTACTCGATATTGAAACAAATTAATTTTATTTTCATAATAAAAGAATATACTGCAAAGATTGTTGTTATTTATGTATATTTATTAGTTACAAATTATTTTTTTATATTTTTGCTTGTAAATTATAGATACACATTATCGCAATATGAATTTTTTTATTTTTTATAATTTTTATGCAGCAATAGAATAAATGTAAAAATCAATTTATTCCGTAAAGGAATATAATCATTTGAAATAAAACCTAATATTTATTTTATATTTTTAGCATTGTAATTGTCCTGATCTAATTCGAAGAAATATATATATACATATACACACACATTTTTTTTTTGTTACAGTCATAATTTACAAATTTCTATTCCCGGTAACATTATATCAATATTATAATTTTCTACTTGGCAATTTGAATATAATACGTAATATAATGTAATTGTATATGTTGTACATAATGTTACATTGCCGAGTAACAAATTGTAACATTAATGTAATATCACTGTTATTTTATGTTTGTTGTTTATTGGGTTATAATGATAGATTAAAGCAGTAACTTATTTTTATATTTAAGCGTGTTTGTAATGCATTAAAGTATTGTTTATTTATTCGATACATATTTGATCGAAGATATTTGACCGCATATATTTGGCAGTCTTATTTCGAATTCTTTTTTCTATCATATTAATGCAATTTTATATTCTATAATATTAATGCAAAAACATTAAGAAGATACATTCATAGTTTTTGATATATTTTATTTAGAATTTAATTGAAATAAAATTTGTTATTTAAAAAAACGCTTGCGCATTTGTTCTCACAAACAGATAAACAACAGACATAGAAAACAACATTAACAGACATTAAAACAACAGAAAAAAAGCACAATTCGATAATTTATTAAAAAGATATAAGAATTTTCAATGATTCATAGTTAACGGAATATAATAATTATATCGAGTGTATAACTTACTTTTTCTTTAAAACCCTTATATCCTGATTTATGTTTATATTGCATTCACAATTCTCCATTCTGCAACCCGTAATCACGAAAGCAGAAATAAGAAATAACATCGTCATCATTGTCTGATTAATCGTTTCTCAACTATTTTTATATTATTCAGGATTAATATATAAGCAGATCAATATAAGAAACTTTTTAAAAATATATCAGTTTAAATCCTTTATATTTCTTTTCTTACAGGATTGTTGAACGAAATCAACAACGAGTTTGTTGTTTGCAGTAATCATTAACTTTCTAATATGGAAAATCCATATTCATCGAAATTTTAAAGAATTGATTTTTTACTTGCAGCTGCTGAAAAATAGAGGATGTTTCTTACTTTTTCAGATACAAGAATTATTAAAATCATCAACGAATTATCACAACTCTTTGCAACTCATCAACATATTTTTTTATATATTAACTTATATATAAATATTATATAAAAGTATATTTTGTACATAATAATTTTTACAAGTTATTCTCTTTGCAAACAGAAAAAAAATTGCAGTCTGAAGACATACTGAATAATTATATATAAATGTTTCCTAATGTTGGGCATAATTTTACAAGTAAATTTAGCCAAAATATAACAAAAATAATTTATATAAATATATTTCTGAAATTTCACTAAAATTATTAAAAGATAAGAATTATTTAATGATGAATAATCGATATTTTCTGAAAAATTGAAGTATTCCAATATTTATACTAATTTCTTTTATCGTTGTCACACGCTGAATTTTTTTGCAAAATTATGCCTATGTATCAGGAGAAACGCTGTATATTTAAATTTTTATTAGCGGAATGATGTTGCTTCGCAAAAATCGTTTGATATAAAATTATTTTCAGGAAATGGCTCTGCTGTGCAGCATTCTTTTTACAAAATTTGTAAATCTTAAAGATTTGTTATTTAATTGTAACATCGTCACATTACCAATATCCTATTAATATTTCCCAATTGTTTTCAATTTCAAATATATGTCAAGGTAGCCAAGTCGAGAATAAATTTTGCAAAATTCTACTGATAGAAGGGTTGCATATTCGATGGGGATATATTAGAAGGGATGTATATTCGATAATGATTGTACGATAATTCTCAAGTGAATACATTTTTTTGTTTTCAGCGATGATGCTACAAGAAAGTGATATGTTTATGGATGCTTTGACTGCGTCTACTAAAAGCAAGGAGCCAAGGAAGCGAAAACGCAGAACTTCTATCACGAAGGATGGCTCTTCGGAAGCTAAGAAACAAGAAATCGCTACCGCCGATAATCGCGAAAGCACACCACCACCTGCCTCACCCTCAAATACCGAAGAGAAGTCAGTCGCCCTCAAACCAAATTTCAAAGTAAGTGCCGGATGTAGGCTCAAATACAATTTTAATACTATTTTAATAATAAATTAATTGCGAAATTTTATTTTTATAGTTCTATCAAGATACATTGGAAATTGAAGAGGACAAAGATCAAAGAGAAAAAGAAAATGAAGAAGAATCAAAGAAGGATAAAGATCAAGCACTTGATGAGGAGAAAGACAACAGAGATGATGATGATATTGGAAGTAACAGTAAGTATTTTATCATCATCTTAATTACATAGGAAAAATGAATTTTTTTATTTAAAAATATTTTTTTTTAATTATACGTATATAAATTATTATTTATTTTGCATAAATTGCGTAATCATAATATTACATTTATCTATTTCATTTATAACGCGTCAATATTTCATTGAAAAATTTATTAAAAAATAATATATTATTATTAATGTATTTTAATATCGCAAATATTTCGCGTATTACAGTTAAAATAAAATTAATTTTGTCTAAATAATTACGTTTGTTTTTTTCGTAGCACCGACTCCCGAGGAAGATGTAGAAGACTCGAAAGATTTGGAATCTCCAGAAGATGCATCTTCGGTAATTTCGGATTCAGCGAAGAATCCTGAAATACGATATGTAGATGGACTTAAAAGTGTTTTGCTGCTTCAAAAACGTAAAGGCCCGAAAAAAGTTTTGAAGTGGAAGACAGATCTAGAATCCATACGTTACTTTGAGTTGGATGAAACAGAGAGAGTTAATGTGACGAAAACATTTACTGATATGAAGCAAATGGAAAAACAAAACGAGAGAGAAGCATTCCAAATGGCGAGAAAATTAAGTATGTAAAATAACTGTAATTCTTTTAACTACAATTACGATATCAAATATCTATTTGCATAAAATACAATCATATTTATATAGTTATTTACATAACTTTTATAGTTATTTATATTTGTGTATGACACATACACACACACACACACACACACACACAAAATTGATATATAAAATATAAAATGTTTTTTTTATTAGATAATGAAGATTTAATGGAGGAAAGAACGAGATGGAAACCTTTAATTCCAATTGATCTACCACCTCCATTAGTGGAACCTGGCAAAGACAGCAAAGAGAAGGATATCCAATACGCTCGCGAGAAGGGCATTCTTCAAGCCCTTTACTTTAATCGAAGCATGTACGTATACATTATAGTATATATATCGTATATAGTATATATATAATAATTTCATTGATATTTGTTTATTAATCCGCAACAATGAAATATTTTTTCATTTTATGAAATTTAAAGATGAATATAGAAGAATTTTATAAAGAAATATTAAGTTCTATTTTCTCTTCTTTTCTTCTGTTTATGAAATCATTATAAGTTTAAAAATGTTTTGTCGTGCGAAATAACATTTTTTAGTGCAGTCTATAATTTTGATTGCTTTTGAATAGGATTCCGGATTCTGCAGCTGAACCCGATGAAGAACGAAATCATGTGATGACTGATCCCAAAATAATACCGTTAGATGATCTTGCGGGTAATAAAGAGAGTGAAAAAGATTTCACAGCGATACCATGGCCGGAACCCAAGCCACAACCACCGCAACCGCCGACAGTAACGACGTTCCATTATCCGACGACTTATCCGCACAATCAACAAAGTATGATGACGACGATGGGTCCTCAATCAACAATGGGCCCCATGCCACAGATGCCCCAACAGATGATGGCTCCCACACATATGACGCCCATGTCTCAAGAAATGACGGGACCAATGCCAGCTACCGGTGGTGGCGGTTGGAGAACGGGCGATGGCAAAGTCCTCGTACCGGACGTTAGTATGAACCCGATGGCAAACATGTCGAGTGGTTTTAATCCGGGAGTAGAGGGTGGACCCATGGTACCGCCAGGAATGATGGGACCACCACCTATGTACAATCAAGAGGGTTACGGTATGATGTGCCCGGATGAGATGGGATACAATAACTTTCAAGGCCCGCCTGGACCTATGTATCCTGGTCCTGGGCCTAATTTCCCGGGCCCGAGAGCTGCCCATATGCACAACAGAGGCAGAGGTGGTCCTGGTTGGGGATACCGTGGACCTGTTAGAGGTGGTTGGAGAGGTGTTGGCGGCGGCGGTTGGCGAGGAAGTGGGAAACAGCCGCCAGTATGTAGACAGTTTTCGAAAAATGGTTATTGCCGAGTCGGCGATAAATGCCAGTATCTTCATCCTGGTGTAAATTGTCCGCCGTTTTAAGAATGGAATTGAAAATGTGATGTCGATTGAATTGAATACTAATGAGATTGAAAGATTATCTCCAATTGGAAATTCTCCAATAATGGTGCAACAAAAGAAAACAGAGATCTGGCAGTATTGTAATAATGCATTTTAATGATGCATGGTATCGATGACTCTTTTTAGAGTGTCATTGACAATTCACTTGAAATCCATTCAAATGTGCGAACAGATGTAAAACAAATACAAAATACGTGATAATTATCGATGTGCAATTTTTTGAAGATAAGCAGAACATGATTGCCTGAATAGAGTTTCTATTTGATAATACTCGATGTGTTCGAAGTAATGTAAATATGACATTTTAATAGTTTAAAGTATATAGTTGTCGCGGCATTCGATATGATCGATTATAAATGTATTGTAATATTGAATTCTAATACTGAATCTATTGAATTCATGTCAAGCTCATATCGGCTGCTGGACAGCAGAATATCTTTCTAGACAGCTCAAAAACTTGGAAAGATTGTTAATGTAATTTTTTTCTATCCTCTTCAATGTTCTTCTCATGACTTCCAGAATTATGGACTTTGAGTGTAAAATTTTTTTCTCTTTCTTTTTATTATCTCTTTCTTTCATGTTCATATTTTTCATATGAGATCATTACCAAGATTATGATTCTATACTATTTTTCTCAAGGACATGTTTAAAAAAATCGCAAAGAAAATAGAGTTATATTAACAATTAAGGCTTTCTATAAACAATCCTGAAATTTTATCCAAACCTGAGTCATATAGTATATATTGCTCCTCGTTTTGCGCTTTAAATAATAGAATTTTAGGATATAGAGCGATGTTGATAATAATAATATTCGACAATTTCTAATGAAACAGAAGTTTCAATATGATAAGATCATATTTTGAAGCATGGTACTACATCCCATTAAAGACTCAAAATGTCTATCAAAAGAAAGATAAGGACAAATTCATACTTTTTATCGTAATATTGTGTAGATTTCTTGTAAATATGTTTGCATAATATATAAACATAGATTATTCTTTAATAATTAGACTATTAAGTTTAGTTATATACAATGATAAGAACAGAATGATAATATTTAATGGGAATCATATGTATAATATCCATTTAGGTAGAAATTATAAACGATCTGATGTTATTTCAACCAATTTTCCCAAGTTTAATGTACAAAATCATGTAACAATTCTTTATAATTTGAATCATCATGGTAGTTGAATTGTACGTTTTTTACTCTACAAGATAATTGATTACATCTTTTTGTATATGATTGATCGTTATGTTTGTATATAACATGTTGTATAAGCGTTGCTTGATAAAAATACACCAGTCATCATTATTTTTAAAAAAAATTTGTGCAATAATTTTATGAATTATAAGATATCCTTTATTATTGCTCTCTCTAATGCAATATGTACATAAATTTAAAATTATTTACGAGTTTTAATGTTTGATATTAAACATTAACATCAAACATTAAAAATTTTGATTCAATTATTAAATTTGCTATTTAACAAATAAATTATAACAATGTTAATATATTTAAATTGATATATTTATATATCTAAAGGTTGAGGTGATAAGAAAGAATCTACATTCAGCAGAATTTTTATTTCATAATTGTTGGAAATTTTTTATGTTGTGATTAGATTATTTCTTTATTAAAAAAAATAACTTCTATCACTTGTAAAATAATTTCTGCTAAATGCAATCATCATATAAATATAATACAGGAGATATAAAGTAATATGTGGAATTATAAAGATTAATTGAACATAAATACTCCAAACTGCACAATAAGGTATAAAAAAATCTGTGCATACCAGTAACAATTAAATTTAAATTTATTTAAATTGTTGAGGTGGAGGCCCAAAGATACTGCCACTCTGTTTGCTTGCGGTTCTGGATGGTGCAAAACCGAGCATTTTCTGAATATTCTAAAAACAAGATTTATGATAAATGCACTTGTCCCATAAATAAGATGACTAGTAAAACTTACTTGTCTAATGCTCATGGTACATAGTATGTACAAAAATATAAATGAGCATTCTGTGTAATCATCGCCTGGAAGATTTCTGTGTGATAAGCCTTGTATCCAGCTGATCGGAACAAATGGCAATCTAGCAACCACTCGACCATCAAATATGTTATTAAACATACTTAAAAGTGCTGTAAATGCAAATCCAATTGCAAACATGGACTTCATCTTTACAAGAGACAGATCACGATTGTTATTCTTCAATCTCTCCTCCTCCCGTTCAATCTTTTTTTCTGCTGCCTGTCCAAAGAGTCGCCATGCGCTTCTTTCCTCTTCTCCACTACAAGATAAAAATATTACAAAGTAGACGAGAATTTCTAGAGATGATTCCTATGGCAAGGATATATTGTTCACTCACATTTTTTACTCTGTTTCTCCACCTCGGCTTTCAATTTTTGATATTTTTCAGTTCTATATACCATCAGCCATGTCAATCCTAAAGAATACAATACTTTGAAGCAACAAATGTATAAACATAAATGAAATGACTGAAGAGTAAACCATCTTGTGATTTTTCTCCTAAGTTTATTAATACATTTAATTGATTATCGTTCATACCTTCGCCCAGCAATGCCGTGCATATGCTGATAAACAAAATCAGAATAGTATCTGCCCACATACTTGAAATCACTTTTCTAATCACAGTTCGTGTACAGCATATATATGAGAAGTAACGCGATCAATTCTCATAGTAAAAAGTCACGATCGAGAATCAATCTGGAAATAATTACTCCTAATGAATCGTACTTCTATTACTGATCAATGAATAAATATAAGAATAAACTATTAAACTGAAGACATTATATACAGGTATACTGAAATATATGATATATTTGGCTTTAGAATTGAAATGTGATTTCTTTGGGTTCCGAAACACATCAATATTGTGCTACTCAATAAATGTACTCATTGGTCGACTCCTATCTATTCTTATAGAAATATTTTAATAATTTAATTCTCTTTTTTGTTTTTAAAATTATATAATATAATATATAATATAATAATAAATAATAAGATATATTTATAATGTAATAATAAGATATAATTAATTTTAATTTTAATTAATAAAAAATATATAATTATAATATATAAATAAGATAAATATAATGGTTCGTGTTCTGAACCCCTAAAAGTAACTTAAACCTTTTGATTAGTTGTGAGCTACTTTTAGAGTCTTTTAGAGTCACTTTTGTCAATAAAGGAAGATTCAAAATATGGGATATAGTTTTATTAGGATTTATATAATTGTTTAGTCTTGTATTTTTCACTTGTTTCTTTATTTCTTTTATATATAATATTTGAAATTTTTATTTTATCTTTATGTAAGAGAAGCACAAAAGAAATATAATAAAAATAGAATATCCAAATAGTTGGATCACATCTTTATTTACATTTTCATTTTGTATATTTGTATTGCCCCTTTTAGATTAAAAAAGTAAATAAATAAATATTGTTTAAAAATTTAAAGCAAATTTTTAAAATTCAATATAAAAAAATTGAAAAAGAAAAAAATTACTATAATTGACATGTATGTTACATGGTACGTCTTCCCTTTCACGCCCCATATAATTTCTATTCGAAATATTTTGTGTTCAACAAAACATAATTCGAAAATAAATTTAATTAGTTGGCGAACAATTTCAAGTCATATACATCAAGTTAAATGAATTATCTTGTATGTACGACATCATTTATTGAGAAAATATCTCGAATGTAGGTAAAATGTATATATTTTGCAAGTTTTATCTCGTTCATACAATATCTGGGGCATCTGTTCATCTTCTATCCTCAAGAAGTGATCACATTTTCTATGTGACAATTATGTACATAAAAATCATGATAACTATGTATAAATATTCTTTATACATATATGAATACTCTTTTTTTTTTAGATTTATTCTGTAGGAATGAAAATATATGTATATAATTATTTTATATGCATAAATAAATATTTTATATCCATATGCATCATCTATTAATTAAACAGTATGCGCAAACAATAATTATAAATTATAAAAAAAATGTTCACATAATGTTATCCGAATTCTCATGTTTATATCAGTGCCACTGAACATCAATACATCCTTTGCCGATGGTGCATGAAGTGTTTGCCAGCATGTCGCTCCAATCTTTCATTTCTTTCATTATTACGGCGATCCCAGTGATGATTACGTCTATCACGATTTTGATTTTGATTTTGACGTGACCAATCATGCCTGCGAGGTTTATTGTACCAAGGATCCACAATGGGTGGCTTGCTCAACTCCTGCATCTTAATCTTCATAAAATCGTCGTCCTTCTCCGTGTAACGATCCTTGAACTCCTCCTCACATTCTTCTATAAACTTGGTTTGCTCGCTTGTTAAAGTAATATCTGCCATTGTCAACAAACCTGCAGTTTACATTTTGCAATTTAGAAAAATGATAGACATTAATTAACATAATGTATTATCAATAACGTAAATAAGAAAGCCAGTATTGTAACAAAAACTTACGATCAAAAACATCTCACACTTTTGCTTGATTTTTATTATTCACTATGTATCGCTAAATACCTTGGACTTCACTTGATTTAACAAGTACAGGTTATGTTTGAATATCATCCGCATAAGCGGAATAGATCTGTTCGTTAATAATTGCACGTTTTGCACTCAATATGAATAGATAGCTAATTAAACGTTGGAGAGAAAAGAACCAAAGACGAAAAATGTATTAAATAGTCCATTACATCCGTTGCATTACACATTCGTACACATATCGTAAATAAAATTTTAGAAATATGCTACAAAAAATGTATTTTCTAATGTTTAACAAATTATTTTGGACAATAATGTTTTTGTTTCTTCTTTATGTCTTTACTTGTAAATAAAATAAAACAACATGAAGATAATTTTTCTGCTCATTGGAAGCTGTTTTCTTATTTATTGATAAATTCTATATTCAGTATTTGTTTTTAAAATTCATATTTTATGATCTTTGTCGATACATAAAAAAAATTAGGGACATCATATATTTTATAATATTACACAATTTAATGGTGTATAAATTAACTAATAAATAATATATATATATATATATATATATATATATATTAATATATAATATACATATACACTAATAGTGGACATATTATGAGCATGCTAATATAATTCATTTTATCACATATTTTTGATATACTAAATCAACAATTTCATTGAATCATGTATAAACAATATGCATCAACAATATTTTAACTTAATATTATTTAATTACTTAATTTTTCTTTTTTGCACTATATATAAAAATGTGTTGATAAAAATATAAAAAACATCAAATAACAATAGTATGGACGCTTCTAATGGACTAGATATTTATAATTCTTATTATTATTTCTTATTTTCTAATAGCCAATTTATACCTAAATAAAAATTATCCGCGTAAAAAATTTTCAAAATGCAATCATAAATATCAATATGCAATATTTAATAAAGTTTGTTAAGTAAATTAGATTCCTATTATTTTCATTACTTGTACTTATTGACATTAAATACTATATTTACTGGTAACTAAAACTTTAATGGCACTTTTGAGATTCTTATCAAAATAAAAATTATTTATAAAATTAATTATAAGTACCCATTATAAATATTCTTTCTAAATACCTAATTTAATAAATATGGAAGATTTATGAATTATAAAAATTTAAAATAGTTGTGATTTCAAATATATCAAAATCTTTTATAAATTTTTGCCATCTAATTGATTCAATAATTGAATAATTGAATAATTATTGAATATAATAAATAGGTTAGATTTAAAAACTGATTTTCATTGAAATACTAAACTTAATTTTCATTAGAGAAAATCCTCTGTAGATGTTACTGTTGCTTCTATCAATAGCCCAAAATCCAATTCTGTAAGACTAGCTGCAAAATGAAAATTACATTTTAAAAACATTCTTGAGAAAATGCAATCAATTGTGTTGGAAATATTAATTCTCACCTTTTGCAGTAAGTAAATCTAAGAAGGTATCTAACGGTGATAAACGATCTGCAGAAGGAAATGCTGCTAAACCTAAAAATAATTTATGCGTATAATATAGATTGCATTTATTGAAATATTATTCGTATGTATTTTACTCACTATTATGATGATTACGATGTTGTAAAGTCCGATTACCAGTTCGATTCTGAGACACTTCGCCGCACAAAATATTAGCAGCGTGTTCTCTGGCTCGTAACATTAAACTAACCGGATGCAGCCATTGATTTAAGAGTCTCTTTGCGCGAGATCTCGACAATAAAGATAACAACTTCAGTTTCTGAACAACGTTTTCTTTTGTATCGCTTATATCTAAATAGAAAATTATCATATAGAATTGCTGTCTATACCATCTTCTATACTTGAAAAACTATAGCAAATACAATAATTTTTTAAAAAAATATACCAGCTAAAATAATCTTGGTGACGTCAACTTGAAGTTCAAATACCGAGCGTTCAATATATTGTAGAAACATTGAGTACTTGAGAGTACGATAGCCAAGATAAGTAAAAAACGATGCAAATCCCTGTGGTGCTGGGAAGGCAATGCTCTCTATGGCATATCTATATCGCTGTAAGAGCGTAAACAGCAACCATCGTCTAGCTTCGTCCAATTGATCTCTGCAAAAATAAAATATATAAGCATTCGAGACAAGCAAACGTTTGTCAAATTTTAAATATAACTTCATTTAGATTATTATAAATTATTTATATTCATCTAATAGATTGAGCAATATATTTTAAATAGGGATTGTCTTACATGAGATTAAAGCCACGTTCCTGTTCAATTTTTGGATCGACGCCGGCTGCTCTGCAAAGTATCTGACACAATACACGCGAAGCTTCTAATTGCGCAGCCACGTATCTCGTGGCCATGGCATGAACGTGTAATGGAGTGCAAGAACCCCGTGTGTGCATAGTCGACGTGTGCGTGCCATTCTTCAGAAGATACATCGAGAGTTCTCGCAAATTAACAGACACAATGTGCTCTTGTTTCGACGCGGTGCAACTTTCCGTCTCGTTAAAAGGTAAACCGGAATCCAACTTGATGTTTCGATTTCCCAAGAAGTCTCCAAGCGGCATTGCAATAAATCTGTGACATGATGCGATAAAGAAAACATTTAGTTTAATTTTATAAATAGTTACGTAATTATAGATGTATATAATAATTTATATACAAATAAAATAGATATAAATCTTGAGAGAAATACGCAAACAAATAGCTTTGAACGTTAGTAGGCGCATGCAATTAGTTACGGAATTAGGATAAGAAATATTGTTACCCTCCACTCGGAGACATTGGAGTGCTGCATCTGGACAACGCTTCTGGTTGATAACAAGCTAAGGAGACCAACAATTTCTCCGCGATATGACTAGGTCTGAATCTCAGTTTGTCACTATCATTTTTACTCAGTTGATCCCACAGTCTAGTCCATAAATCGCTACGATAAGGGACCAGCCTTTGCTGCGGTGAAAGTAGCATCACCGACGTATTCCAGAGTTTCTCGTGACTGAGTGTGATATCCAAATCGTTCATCTTTATGTCGAAAGTCATGTAATCCCCTATGGTAGTCACGGGCAGTAGAGACAACAAGGGAACAGTGTCCGCGAGAAGATTCTTTTGCACCAAAGCGTAAGAATTGCCTATAAGAATCTCTTGCATGAAGCGTGGAATATCCAAGGAACGCGGCTTCTCCGCGATGATGGATGTTAACTCCGCGATAATTTCCAGGTCGTTTTTATGGCAGAGAAAATAATGAAGTATCCCCAAGCGGATTTCGACCGAGGTCTCCTTGCGGAAAACTTCAACGAGAAAGTCCGGAGGAATTGTCAACTGCACAAGATCCAAGGTAGGCAGATCTATCGTCAGTATACTCGTATTAGAATTTACGAGGCTGCTTCCGTCCGAGTTCTTGCTATCTGGATTATTATGATAGATTAGTGAATTTTTTCTCGTTCCTCTGTTAGCGCTGTCGAGCAACGGTACCAGATAGGAAACGCGGGACGGGATCGACGATGGCGCGCCGCACAATATGTGACAGCAGGGCTCATGGTTCACGCCAATCTCGAGAAGATGCGCAAATAATCCCGGCACGAACACGATCATGTGGTGGCTCTCGTAGATCGCGAAGGTCGGCCTCATCAGTTTGGCGCGCGACCACGATATGCCCGGTATAACGCAATGGATCACGCAGCTGTGATGCAGCAATGTTACCGAATATGCGAAATGTACCGTGTTAGATTCGTTCAAGGAATTAAGTACGTGCTGCGGCGGCTGTACAGGCCGGTAAAGATAGTAGTGACAAACGCAGACCATTCCCTTGGTATCCGACACTACTATGAGGTCTAGGGAACAATCGTGAACTCGCAGGGGTATCACATCGTCTTCGTAAGTCCCGCAATTCGAGGACGGTGACAGTAGCGGTAAGTTTAATGGGATATTTAGCTAAAAAGATACCATACATTTTACACTAATACAATGCCATGCATTTTTTTAGATGAAACTTAATTGCCAAACACGCAAGATTTACGCAATGTATTAATCAATTCATTCTATGTAGAACCTGTTAATTAATAATTACAAATACACAAACTTATAGTTTGATTAGACGATACTCCCGTAGTTCTTATCAACAAATATTTACCACTGTTTCATGGGGCAAGTCATCGTGAAATTGAAGACCACTGAGGGTTGGTTTCGATGATCTGGAATTATTCTCGTCGTCATCTTCAGTAACCACGCTTGCAGGAATTCGTCGATGATGTATATGATAAAGAACTTGATTGATCATGTCCCATTGCGCCCATATGAATATTTTTACAAGTATCTCGGATTTCAATTCCTTTATTGATATATCAAATTGAGCAGTATATATCAGAATACCTTGAAATATATAATAAACAATATGAATTGCAAAAATATGTTAATAATCATAAATAAAGTGATGTTTTAATGCGTTTTTTTTACAAGCAAAAAGACTTTTGCCAAGATATCTGTAAAATATGAATGTAACGCAAGCGAATATTACTTGCAGTCACTTACATTCGTGATGTATGAGTACCAGAAACTTATCCACTCCTGGTTGTTCCTTCTCTCTGTACAAAAACTGTATCCGCACCTGCTTAGATCTCTCCATCTCCAGATCATGCACTTTGATGTCATCAGTTAATTCCACAACGAACACTCTGTAAAATTCTCCACGAGACTCATGTTCATGATCTCTCCAGAGGTCTGATGTCTCTGAACAAGTCTTTTGTTTTGTTACATATCCCATTAAAGTATGACTCTGGTTGACTGTAGCTTGAACAATGTTCAGTACCTCTGGAAAACGGTGCAGTACCTGAATCCCCAATTAGAGTGACATTAGAAATATCCATTCGGCAAAAGAAAGATTCTTCTTCTCAATCCTTACTTGTAATTTATTATCAATCTGGTCATAACGACCGATTATGGTACATGATGTACATGCATCGCTTTTCTCTGCTTCCTCTACCCATCCGATGAGTATCGAACCATCTTTTTCTTGTCCAAGTAGCTTCCATTGCTCGGCTGAGAGACAAAGAAAGATAAACAGCTTTTTTTTCTGATAAACAGCTCTGACATCATATAATTTATGTCCGTCATTTAAAGTTATCTGTTGCATTACTAAATATCTTATATATTCTGCGTCGTTATTCTTATATGCACGCGCGAATGTGCAGATTTTTATACAAATAAGCTATTATGTGTATTATCATTGTAATATATTTTCCATTTTAAATAAATTAAAAGTTTCTCGACAGTTACCTGTGCTGGCATTCTCCGGCAAAAGCAAACATAATTTTGCTGCGAGGTTCTCTATCATATCTACAGAGAATAATCTGTGAGCAATTTACGTTCCAAGGAAATTTTTGATAGACAATTCACTGCGTTACAATAATAATCACAAAATGTGTTTGCTCCTTTTTTTGACACTTCTCACATTTCCGTTTGCTCCAAGTCCCTGTCGTCTGCTGCTCTGCCGAATCCAACCGAGCGAAGTCGAATCGTCATGAAAATTCCTTTGGGTGCGTTCACATTGGCCATATTTAGTTGAACGTTTATTTCGCAATTGGAAGTTTCATACGCAGAAACGGAATTCTGTACATGTCCACCGACAACTATCGGTTCGGTTCGATAACGACGTTTGTCGCTTGCGTGATCGCAAGCGACCGTACAAATGTACACACTTATCGACAACTGTTGGTGTCGTTAACGGCATTGACTGATAAATATCGTATAAAGCTATTCTGTACCATCATTAACGATAGATATCTAACGATGTTTCGATGTATCGTTTGTGAACGATAATCGTCGCTATTTCGAACGAGGTATGTAACGATAGCGTTCAACCGACACCGACAACTTTTTGAATTTTAGTCCCTCTCGGGCCGTTGAGTAGAGGGGATGTCTTTTGTTCCTACATAAATTTTTGTATTGCGTCAGTGTCGGTCCACAATAGGTGATTTAAGCTTTAAAAAGTAAGAAATTGATCAATTATAATCGAATATAAAAAGAATAATCGATTATGATTGGTCAATTTCTTACGGTTAAAACTGCAAAATATATTCATCAATCTATAAAATATAAAATATTTTTGTGCACTTTATATGGTTCAGAATCGCAAGATATTAAAATATATACATGTTTATCAAATCCATTATTTAACTATTGAACCTTATATTTAATTATTAATGTAAAAGGATTTTTTAAATGATTTTTGCTATTCATTCTATTTAATTTCAAACGTTTTATTATTAAAACATTTTTTCCTTCTAGGTGCACGATCCAAAGAAGCATCTCAAGCGTCTTAATGTGCCTAAATCTCGATCCACAATAGGTATTTAATCTTTAAGCTGTAAGAAATTGACCTATCATATGCGATTATTCTTTTCATATTCGATTATGATCAATTTCTTATTTCTTAAAGCTTAAATCATTTATTGTGGACCGACACTAAAGCGTGGATTAGAAACTCGGAGATATACATGCTCCACGACCATCTACTGATCCACACAAACTCAGGGAATCATTCCCTTTGATTATCTTTCTTTATAATAGGTTGAAGTATGCCTTGATAAATTGCGAGGTTACTAAAATTGTGATGCAACGCTTGATCAAGATTGATGGAAAGATTCGTACTGATCCTAAATATCCAACTGGTTTTATTGGTGACTATTTTTTTATATTATAATATTTTTTTATATTATTTTTTTATATTATCTTTTAATTATTTGATATAGCTCATTTTTTTATATATATTAAAGCATTTACATTTTCAATTATTGTTTAAATTACAATACGGTTAAATTACATACCGTCTGCCACTGCTTTGTCGACTTTCCGGGTCCAGTACTTAATGAATTTAAGAAATCTTTTAATTGTTCCCACTGTTGTGTATGGTGAATTTTACCCTATTTAGTTAAAAATTTGCCTGCTGCAAATTTTTCTGAATGCGTTTCCATATATTTTATTAATTCTTCATATTGCACTTGGGTTGTACGTACCGCACGAGATTTTCTTAAATAATTTAAAAACATTTATAGCAGTAAGATAAGTAGAATATGAAGTACAATAATAAATATGAGAATAATTTACACATGTATTTAATTACACGCGTGTAATTAAACACATTCTCAGACCTAATTTATAGTTGTGTAATGTATAGTCGCTTATGTTATTATAGCAATGTGTTAATATAATTTTCATAATTATATATTACTGTGTCTCAATAACAATCATTAATATATAATATCATATATCAATATATAACCATAATATTAATGATTGTTATTGATTGTATACTTAAAAATAATGTAAACTTGTAAAAATAATGTAATAAACTTAAAATATAATATATACTTAAAAAAATAAAATAAAAGTTTTTATTATACATACCTGCACATACGTTAATATATTGTATTTATTAGTGCATAATTTTGTATTAACATTATAGTGCATAATTTTGTACTAACATTTGTAATAACATAATAAAAATTATATACATAATAATCAATTACACACACATACACACACACAACTTTATATAAATTAGTATATACATACCTTCTTTGCGTTACCTTTTCCATATTTTTCTTAATAATATAAATGATTTTTTTATAATAATATAAAGGTTTATAAATTTACATTTAACCTTAACAAATTTACATGCCTCGCAAATTTACATTTCTCGCCAAAGATTTTCCGCCAATTTTTTTAGAATTTTAATGCTATAGTTCAGAAACATTCATCATCTTTTTTCCTAGTCTGTACATTATCGATAAAACCGTAGCGACGGCTGTCGCTTGCAACAACATTATCGGTAGAGATAATATACAGAATATCGTTCATCCATTTGTATTGGTCAGTTCGTTAACTAATGACAGCCAAGGACGATCTTGGAAAAAGACACGATTGCCATTGGCTGTCATTAATTAACGACATCGACAGTTGTCGGTAAGCAAGTACAGAATCTCGACCCTGGGATTAAATTATTCTTTTAGATCTAGAAAAATAATCTAATGTCAATACGGAAAAGTTTCGACAATAAAAATAAATATTTTGTGTGAACGCAGTCGATGGTGTATCTTTTAGAAAACCAAAGTTAATTTTTTAATCTCAAATTAACCATAAAATTATTTTATTATAATCAAAAGTTATAATTTAAAAAATGACATTATCTTTATGGATCTTTATGGATTTCGCGGAGAATTAAAATATATGTTTTCTCCAACTTTTCCTATTTTTCTTTTATTCCAAAAAATTATTATTTCCAATCATCCAGTGTACATGTGTATATGTTAACAAAGCTAATAAATTTTAATTGCAAATATTTTAGCTTTTAGATGATCAATTCTTTTTATTTAAATGAATATTTATATTGAGAATTGACTTACATTTAAAAATTCAATAATTTCTAAAATCCAAAGATTTTCTGAAATTGAATCGCCAATCAATAAGTGTTTTGTTATTTTCTTTTATATTGTAGTTTTTATTTAAAATAAAAAAAAATTAAATCAATGAAAAAAATGATTGAAATTTACCTAGCTTGAGCTGAAGCAACCGGCCCTGAGAGAGACGCATATTTACTCCCTCCTCTTTCCCTTCCTACTTTGAAGTCGTCAAACTTGTGCTTTCTGCTTCAGTCTATTCGCTTTAATTCACACGATTAAACGTGTTATTTTCCATTGAACGAACAAAGCAGCTTCTGAGAGAGAAAAATGGTCACCGGACGCGCGTTGCATTTTGTGTTCAAAATACCCGATCGCGGATTGACGGCGAAATTTTATCGGGAAATTCTTGGGATGAAGGTGATTTTATATTTCCTTTTTCTCTTTTTCTTCTTCCTTTCTTATAGCTCAATTTTGTTGATTGTCGGATTATGTGTCTTCGCAGGTGCTCAGGCACGAAGAATTCTCGGACGGATGCGAGGCTGCGTGCAATGGGTGAGTAATCTCCCATGACTTGTCATTAATTGCTCAACAATAATTTCCGTGAAAATGCGATGACTGTTTTTCATGTAACAAAAACAAAGAGAATTTTCATTTTTGTACATCAAATGTAATGTTAAATGTATATTTATTCTCTTGTATATTTTTTGTAATTATGGTTTGTATAAAACATTTGATTATATGTTGTATTATATTAATACTTCTTTTATCTTTATTTTCACAGACCATATGCAAATCGTTGGAGCAAAACGATGATAGGATATGGCCCTGAAGACACACATTTTGTGATTGAGTTGACATATAATTATGGGATTAACAAATATGAAACTGGAAATGATTTTAAAGCTATTACTATACGTTCGAAGGATGTGATTGAAAGAGCACGAGCTAATGGCTGGCCAATGCACGAAGAAGATGGAAAGTTTGTGATGCAGGCACCTGGTGGATATAAATATCACATCGTTAACGAGCAACAGTCTAATGGTGGTAAATATAACTATTAGGCTATATCTTTTATTATCTGTAAAATTTCATTTACTGTAAAATTATCATAATATAAATTAGTTCTTGATATTACGTAATAAAACTTGAGCAATATCTTATAGAATAAAGTTATAAAATTGTATCATAAAAAGAAAAATAATAATTAATAGTAATATAAAAGTTATAAAAAAAGATAATATGTTTTTAACAAAATATTATCTTTTTTTATAAAATAATTGAATTAAATTTTTTGAATTCATCAGATCCAATAGAGAAAGTTACCTTATCCAGTTCTAATCTTGAACGTACCATTGCTTACTGGAAAGATATTTTGGGACTAACGATATTTGATAGGAAAGATAAGAAAGTATTGATGGGCTACAGTAAAGACCAAACCAAGCTTGAATTCGAAGATATTGGTGAGTATGTTATGTATACAAAATATTTAATTTATTTTTTATTGGATTTGTAATTATTGGCTAAGTATTTAATTATTATTTTTGAATTTAAAAATACTAACAAAATATTGGATATTATTAATAAATTTTATGTGAATTGTATTTCAGGAACTGAAGTTAATCACGCAAAAGCATATGGGCGCATTGCATTCTCAGTGCCATTTTCGGAGCAGCCCGCGATTCAAAAAGCTATTAAAGAAAGTGGAAATAAAATTTTAACTGATCTTATAACATTAGATACGCCGGGAAAAGCGTCTGTAAGAGTTATCATTCTTGCTGATCCAGTAAGTAATCTTACAAATTAAAATAAAATACTTACTATGCGATCATATTTTATTAATCTTATTGTGGCTACGTTTTCAGGATGGGCACGAGATCTGTTTTGTAGATGATGAAGGATTTAGACAGCTCTCAGTTCCGGATTATCCGAGCGAAGCAATTTTAAATAAATATATCGAAAAAGAAGCATCTGGAAGTAATGCGTGAAAAATTATTCGCTCTTCCATTGAAATATTATTTATAATTAATAATACTATATACATGTAAGAAAGAGTCATTAATGGTGGTGGGATGCTAATTGCGAAGAGATTAATATTTAAGTGATATAAGACATTTAAATATGTAAATATGCAAATAAAAGATATTTGTTTTGTTAAATAAATTTTATTTTTCATAACAAATTGAGTAAAATTAATTTATGTACTTATATATATTTGTACTTATACATATCGCTAGATTAAATAAAATTTTAATGCATAAAAATCTAGCATTAAAACTCTCAATTTATTTGGAAATCTTGCATAAATGAAAAGTTTTTTATAACCGTTTTCACAGAAAATGTTGACGTTTAGACGTAATTCGCGTCATCAGTATCAGTTTCAGTTATGTTGAAAGTACTGATTTGTGTAAGTGAGCGGTCAATAGGCCAACAACGTAATCTTTCAATGTATGTTTATATCATAGTCGAGGAAGACGCCATATACTAAGAAGAAAGACTGAGAAAAACGTGTATATCATTCTACACTCATACTGAAAAGAAACCTGATAAGAAAAACATATATTTATCATCCCATATCCTTCAACATTCTAGTTTCCGTCAGTATAAGCTCGTCGTTACTTCAATACAATAGAAATGAATATCCAGGTTTCGCTATTTCTCTTCCTTTTTACGCTTCTTATAATCGGTAAATATAAAAAAATATATATAATATATTTTTCATATAAAAAATAATCATGTATTATTCATGTATTATTAAAACATAAATTATTTCTTGGATGTAAGATCTTTCTAAAAATTAGGATCTTTTACAAATAATGTTATTTTAACATTTAACGTCATTTTAACCAATTTTTCGTTTTTTCATATATCAGCAATAAAAAAAATATCGCATGAATTTATCGGGCATAAACCTATTTTATTTTCAGGTAATGCAAATGCAAGAGGGTTTTCATTCCGAGGTTTATCGTCACGAGGTCCATCATCGTCACGAGGTTCGTCAAGATCTGGTTCAAGCTCCTCTGGATATAGAAGTTCATCAGGTGGACACACAACGGGCTCAAGCTCGACTGGCTACAGAGGTTCATCAGGTGGACACACGACAGGTTCAAGCTCGACTAGATATGGAAGTTCTTCGAGCGGACACATGACGGGCTCAAGTCCTCTTGGACATGGAAGTTCATCGAGCGGTCACACGACAGGATCAAATCCGATTAGACATGGAACTTCATCGAGTTAATATATGATATAATTATAATATAATAATGAGGGAGAAGATATATTTTTTCTTTGTTCCAATATTTTTTAATTACAACAGAATTATATTATTATTGTTGAAAATTATAGGTCAAACCCCGCATCAGCAAAATAAAGATTCATCTACAATTTTTATACATGGCGAAGGAGGAGGTGCTACTCGACCCTGTAAGTGCAACATCAGCAAATAGTAGTCGCGAAATGTTTACTTCTTACTCAAGAATCTTAGAATCTCAGAATATTTGATATGAAAATTTTCTTTGATATGAACTTTTTCTTTGCAAAGCTCAAACTAGTACCGGACAGTCTGGACGGCCATCAACATCACATGGTGGTATAGGTATTATTAGCATTGATTATTTAATATTAAAATAAACATTATAAAAAAGTTATTTTCAGATATTATTTTATTATATATTTTTATAATAAATCATCATTAATATTTTTTATTTTTGTATTTGTTTCTGTTATTTATTAAATAAAAAATAATGTTGTCGATTTTTCTTAGGAACTTATTCAGGGAATCAAAAAGACAGTGGAAAACCAGGTTTTACAACAGAGAATAAACAAACTTCTGCGCCGTATAATCCATCAGCTCCACACAATCCATCAGCACCATACAATCCATCAGCACCATACAATCCATCAGCACCATATAATCCATCAGCACCATACAATCCATCAGCACCACGTAATCCATCTGCACCATACAATCCATCAGTACCATACAATCCATCAGCACCATCGATTGATCATATGCCGAAATCCACTGTGATACCTTCGCAAAGTCACGGTATATATATTATTTTAATATTATTAACAAAATAATTTATGTTTTTAAATTTCTAAAGTTTAAGAAACAGTAATAGCAGATATAAAAACAAATTAAAATAAATTAAAGGAATAAACGTTTTCTAGAAATAAAAACATTTAATTAATATAATATAATAAATTAGATGTTTATATTTACTATAATAATCTTTCTTTTATGCTATATAATTATTTATAATACAGTTTAAAAACAATATACAACTTATAATTTTTTTACAGTTCCAACTTCTTCTAATCAACCAAATGCGCCCTATAATCCATCACAAGGAACGGGATCCAACAATCCTTCATGGAGTAATCCGCATTTCAATCCAGGTCATTCCTATCCATCAGGTTCAACTTCCACTAATATTGGCTTCAAAGATCATCTGCGACCAAATCCGATGCCCGTCCCTTCGCACGTTCCCACGCCTTATCCGCGTGCTCCCTATCCCATTTCTGGTTCCAATTCACAACCTCCTCCTTATCCTGGTTATCCCGTCGGTCATCCGAGTCAACCTCACTCCACGTATCCCAGTACGTCCCACATACATCCCAGTTACTCCGTTCCCAGTCAAACGGTCGGACATCCTTCCGGTTATCCGTCGCATATTCCACCACCCATGCCGGGTACATTCGGGAACCCTTACTCCACCCATCCCATTGGCGGGACGCATGGCGTTGGACATAGTTATTATCCTCAACAGCACGTTCTGGCGCAGCCGGCAGCACAACCATACATACCTGGACAAACGGTGATAATGGTTCCCGGTCAGCAAGATAGCGGCAGAGGCTTCGGCCAGCTGGTGAAGGAGGCACTCGTGTTCTCCACCATCAATGCCGGTGTGAATAGGCTGTTAAATCCGCATCATTACATGTCATCCGATTACAGCAGACCGGCAAGCACTAGCACGAGCGAGACGCATATAACTTACAATAATCATTATTTTAACACTGCTCCTCCGAGCGACGCCTCGGGCACTGCTTCCTCAGCTTCGCCGAATCTACCTCCGGGAAGCGCTCAAGTTACATATCCCGCCAGTCCAAATCCGGTAAACAATCCGATTATTACTCCGGGTGTATCAATCCCTCCGATTGTCGGGAACAACGCTAGCGTGACGTATCCAGTTGGCGGATCTTCTGTAAACACAATGGGTACAGCTAGCAAAGTGGAAGGTCCTCCAGCTAGTGGACTCTCCGCCAACAATAAAATGAATAATCAAGGAGCACCCAATGAAGGAACATCTTATTCTCCGCAATACAGGATATCGGACGATGAGCTAGAGAGGTTGAGTGAAGAATTGTTTCTGAAACAAGAAATCAATATGTCTAAGTATTTGTCATTACACCTTCAAAGTAAATCTGTAAATATGACCGATGCAGCTAGAGGACCGTAAGTTTTCCATTTACGTCGATTTAAATGATTATCTAATATGCATTATCGTTATTAATGTTATTTACGTTTCTTTTTTCTTTTTTCAGATTAATTCATGTGCAACAAGAGGCATATGAATATCCAACGATTTCAGCTATTCGAGCGCTCTACGACATTTACGAACACAATTCTACCGTGAAGGAGACTCGCACGCCGGAAAAACGAAAGAAAGAGAATCTTCTGTTAGACATATTCCTGAACACGAATGTAATGGCTAGAACTATGCAATGGTTGTCAGATCGAGGTTTCATCGATCCTGATGATTTCGAAAAGAAGGATACGTTGCAACATATCTGGTTCAACCAGTTTGATGGTTCCACTTCAGGGTTCGAGCGAGTGTTCACATCTGAAAGATATGGCATGGATCTTCTTGGTGTGCAGGACTGGATTTACTTTAATTATCAAGAATCGAAGAATCGTATTCATTATATGGGATACGTCGATACGGTGAAGCTCGGTGATGTGAGTTATTTATATAAATAACGCTATACTATGTCATAGTATTATATCTTATACATATATATAGAAGGTTAGAAAAATATATTTTATATTTATAAGTCGATTACAATTTACGTTCGCTTTTCACAGAGAGCCTCCTTGGTAAAACTGAACTTCCAAATGGATGATGTTATTAGGCCAAACGCAACGATATTCGTGGGCACGCTTCCCGAACTCGAGATGTCCTTATATACGATATGCTTTTACGCCAGACCAAATAATCTGTGTCCCGTTTCTCTTGGTGGAACCAAATTTAATATTTTCACACATTCGTTCAGATATTACGGGAAAGATCTGATAGATCTTGCACTTCCCATTTTTTAATCCTATATTATATACTCGTAAATAAATATTCGGACATATAATGTAATTTACCGAATACGAAGATAATTTTAATAGAAAATGTAATATACAAAATCAATGTAAGAATTATTGTATGTAGATTAATTCTTTTTGTTATACTTTTTTATTATAAACTTATAATATGACAAAGTTTATAAAAGTAATAAGCAATATGTGTTACAATTTATTTTAATAAAACAATTTTACGATATTCCTTTACGATATTCCTTTTATATAATAAAAATTAATTTTTATAATTAAATAAACTATACTTCTTCCTAATTACATTATTGTGTTTAAGAATGATAGTAATTTTAAGTTAAAGCATTAATTGCTTCTTTTACTTTAATAATGTAATTTTCTTTAGAAATTTTCAAGCATCTCTAAAACGCTTATTTACAAGATGAGTTTTCTAAGAGTCAAAAATATTTATCAACATTTCAAATGATTATCAGCATTTCAAATTATAAATTTATTTAATTTTCGATCAATTCTAGCTTTGCAGGCGCGCGCGGAGGATTAACGGAAGGGGAAATTTACAATGCATGAATCATTCAATGTTACGAGCAACTTTGTAACATTGGTTACCGACGTCTAAACCATTCAGCATAGGGGAGATCGAGGCCAGTTCTCACAGTTTTCAAATATTGATTTTTAAGAAAAAAAGCAGATGCAAAAATTTTTAAATATATAAAAAATTATTTAGCTTTACATGAAACTGACAATCAACCCCTATGGTTATATATCACACATTCCAGAGTTAATGATCACATATATTTTATATAGGGAAAAAAATTAAATTTTTATTTTTCCGTCAGTTTTATATCTCTTGCAATAATAATAATTATAATGTAAGAATATAAAAAAAGTAATATTAAATTGCAAAAAAATTCTTTTTTATCTTGGAATGGCATTGGTATTGTTGGGAGAGGTGCATCATGTATCTTATGATTGTTGAATGTTAAAAATGAATCTAAGTTTCACATTTATCACGTTAGGATGGGCTGCACTATGAAGAAAAGGATGCTGCGCCATATACTGAATGAGCTATATAAATTTTATGACAACCTGTGCGGCAATCAGCCCCGATAATTTCTCCCCTACAGTCGACCCCATAATATTGGTCACCGGCGTTTAGGCCATTCAGCATAAGGTCGAACTGCGGTAGTAACACGTCGACTTTGCATTAGCAAACAGTGCATATCCCTCAGAGATTTCTTCGAGTTTTTAACCGACGGATATAGCGATACAGCAGAGGCAAAGGGGGCAACAACGAATATGAGAATCAGAACAATAATTCTAATTTTTGTGATTGTGATTTTATACATTTTCGGTAATCACGTATTTTATTCTTAAGCAGATATTACATTTACATTATTATAGATTGTAATTAATGGAGCATCGTTAATATATTGCGGATAGAATTCTTATGTTTTCTCTTGGTCACTAAATACGGCTAATAATAAAAAAAAATAATCTGCAATGTGTTAACACGCAAAATTAGTGCACGAAAGAAATATAAGATTTATACAGCATATTTAAAATATTCCGAAATTTGCGCGAAATATTTTAATTCATCAAGAAGTGAATTCTAATTTTGAATCATTGATAAAATTTTACAGAAAATTCAGTATTAATTATTAGCGTTGAGAATATTAGCTATATATTTGAAATAAAAATTCTAGAGTAAACTTTAAGATGCTTTCAAATTTGTGTGAAATATTTCAAAAGTGTTTCAATTAATCTAAATTGACTTTTAGTAAAAAAATTTCGTTAAATTTTTGAAAATTTCGTTAAATTTATTGAAAATTTATGTTGAAGACTTGATATTAATTATTTTAATCAATTATTTTAAATTAAAATTCTTTTTAATTTTGTATTAATATGGAAACTTAGATTGCACAAATTTATTCGTTTTTATCTTTCAAGAATTCAAGAATTATTAAAATTAATTTATAACTAAAGGAGTGATAATTGAAGTGAAGAAATGAAAAAACATAATTTCTAGATTAATTAAAGAATTTTACTGGGTGCCATGCAAATGCAAATTTGAAATTTAATTATTTTTTATTACAAAAAACAATTAATTAATTAATCAAAATTTAATTTATATAATAAATATTTCGAAAAAAATCTAATGTATATGTGAAAGAGTGGCGCATTATTGAATTTTTACAAGGCATAAAATTTATAAACTTTTATTTATTTATGCTGTATTTAAGCTTTCTAAGATAGTATACGTAAAAATAAAATAGAAATCACAAATGATTTAGATAATAAGAAAATAGACAAAATGATATAAAATATATATAAATTTTATATATAAATATTTTATATATTATATATAAATTTATACAAAATAATGGTAAATTGATTAATAAATACAGCTATAAATGAAATCATCTACATAATAAATGAAATCACTAAAGAAAATTACTCTTCCCTACTCATACGTCATATCGCTAACTTACACTGCTCGTATAGTATTATTCACTTGTCGGCATTTATTATAATTATTATTGCGATGCAATTTGAAACAGAGAAAGAAGCATCTGTTGCAACATGTGAAAAACTGTTTGTCCTTTCATTATTTGTAATTTAATAATGCAAAGTATACTATAGAAAATGTTAATGGTGGTGAGACATTAATTAAGAAGAGATTAGCATTTATATAACTCCAAATAAAGATATGCAAATATGTAGATGAAAAATATTTTGAATAAAAAGGAGTCCAATGACATTAACTTTACAGACATCATTCTGAGTAACACTCAAATTTTTAATAAATAAGATCGTTTGTTGTTTATTAGAACGTTATTAACAAAAATTGTTTACGAAGATGTACATAACTTACTTGATTTTCAGACGATGTAAATGCAAAAAGATTCGGATCTCTGCGGATTCTTGGAGGTTTATCATCACGGGGTGGGTCGTCACGAGGTTCTTCTTCGTCTAATTCAAACTCCAACTCTGGACGACGAAGATCATCGAGCGGTTTCGGACAATACGATTCCGACGATTCATCGATCGCAAAAAATTATGAATACGAAAGTTCATCAGGTGGACGTGTGACGAGCTCAAGCTCAACTGGATATAAGAGTTCCTCGAGTGGGGATATGAGAGGATCAAATTCCTTCGGGAGACAGGGAAGTTCATCGGGACGCTCATCAGGATCAAGCTCTTCTAAACGTAGAAAGTCGAGTCAGTATAAAAAATTTTATAATAAAAAAAAAAGATACAATTTGTTTTAATATTTCTGTAGCTTATATTATCTTTGCAAAAAATGTTTACAGGTCAGACTTTTCATCACCGAAACAAAGATGCATCAAGTTTCTTTCACGGTGAAAGACGTGCCAATCGACCTCGTAAGTGCAACGTCAACAAATAATAATAATTGCAAAATATTTATTTCTAAACAGCATTTAATATTTTTTTCGATTTCATTGAGGTGAGCTGTCTCTTTACTTGTTCACCAGGTCCAATTTCTAATATCGGCTTCGAATATTATCTGCGCCCAACTTTGGTGACGTTTCTTTGTAACTTCAACCAATCTCACTTAACTTCGATCTCATTTTAATCTTTATCAATATCATTCCAGCTATTCCGTTACCAATCGAACAATCGGACAACGGTTACTTAACGCTTTCGTCACGCGTGCAGGTATATTCAGGACTTACTCCACGCGTTCCGTTGACGGCGTAGCTGGACGCGATCATCGTCCTGAGCAACACGTCCTGACGCAGCCGGCAACACAACCGTACATACCTGGGCGAACGGTCATCGCAGTTCCCGATGAGAAAGACCGAGAGTTTGGTGAATTAATAAGGAGGGCACTCGTATTCTCCGTAATCCGGAATGGTGTAAACGGACTGATAAACTCGCATCATTATGTGTCTGATTACAGCACATCGGCAGGCAGCGATACCGGGACGAGCGAAATGCATATGAAAAATAGTAATTAATTAATATCATTATTTAAATGCTATTATTTCGGACAGATCTCAAATTCGGTAAACAATCCGGTCATTATTTCAGATGTATCGACCCCCGAAATCTTCGAAAGCAATGATAACTTGACAGATAGCGATATCTCCATGAACACAACGGGCACTGTTGGAAATGTCGAAAATACCGCGGTTAATACATTTTCTAGTGAATTTTCTGTTGACGATACAGCAAACGATCAGGGATCCAATGAAGAAACGAAGAATATTCATTCTTCATATAAAATATCGGACGAGGATCTGGAAACGTTGACTGAAATGTTGTTCGCGAAACAAATGGTCATTTCGATGTGGTTGACGTTAAATTTACAGAATAAATCTGAGAACTTTATCGATGATTCAGCTCAAGAACCGTGAGTTATGTATTTAAATAATTTTAAATGATACGTACGTAAAAAACAATTTTACACAATAATTTAACATTATAAATAAATATTTTGTGTATCTCTCTCGTGTATTTCTCGTTTTTTAGATTAATTTACGTACAAGAAGAAGCATATGCATATCCAACAATTCTAGCTATTCGAAAGCTTTATGACAATTACGAACATAATTTCACCGTGAAGGAGACTCGCATGGTGCCAAAGCGAAGGAGAGAGAGCGGTTTATTAAATAGTTTGTTGCACTCACAAGTAATGGCTACTGCTATGCAATGGTTGTCAGAGCGAGGTTTCATCGACTATTTTGAGAGGAAGGACATTTTGAGGTATATCTGGTTCAACCAGTTCGATGGTGTCACTTCAGGGTTCGAGCGGGTGTTCACGTCTGAAAGATACGGCTCAGACATTCTTGGTGTGCAGGACTGGATTTACTTTAATTATCAAGAATCGAAGAATCGTATTAATTATATGGGATACGTCGATACGTTGAAGCTCGGTGATGTAAGTTATTTATAAAAATAAGGCTGAATCGTGCCTTATTGTTTAATATATGATGAGAAAAGGGAAATTTTCTTTTATATATATCTTATTATTATAATATATTAATATAATAAAATATTTTCAATATTGATTATAACTTATTTCGTTTCTCTTCACAGAAAGCCTCCTTGGTAAAACTGAACTTCCAAATGGATGATGTTATTAGACCTAACGCAACGATATTCGTGGGCACGACTCCCGAACTCGAGATGTCCTTATATACGATATGCTTTTACGCCAGACCAAATGATCTGTGTCCCGTTTCTCTTGGTGGAACGAAATTTAATATTTTCACACATTCGTTCAGATATCACGGGAAAGATATGATAGATCTTGCGCTTCCTATTTTCTAGTTCTGTATTATGTACATATAATTAAATATTTGGAAGTAATATAAATTACAAAATATATAATGTGAACGTAATTTTATTAAAAATAAAATATATTAAACATATTAATGTAAGAATTATCGTATATATGAATTAATTTCGTTTAATTTTTAATTCTTATAATATGTTTTATGTAATAAACGATATATATTTTAATCTCTTTTAATGAAAAAATTTTGTGAACTTATTATAAAAGTAGTAATACTTGTTTTATGTAATAAAAATAAAACTAATGTATGAATTTTTATAATTAAATAAATTATACTTCTCTTCGTTTGTGATCACATTATTGCACTTCTAAGATAATAATTATAATTTTATATTGGAGAACATGATCGTTTGTACCAGTTATTTCCACAACGTAATTCCTTTTTTTGAACTATCTTTGAATCTTCCTAAGGAGGCAAAGTTCAATTTTTTCTGAAATTGATAATATTTATTTTATTTATTTATAATGTTATAATATTAATCAATAAAATTATCAAATAAGATTCCAAAATTATTAATTTCAATAATCTTCAATAAGTTTCACTTTACATGCAAATTATTTCAAAATTTTATGTTAATTTCAAAAAGATTTAAAAAAATAATTCAGAAAAGATTAAACAAAAACCGTGACTGATTGTATATTCTTAAGAGATTGTATGTTTCTCTCTAAGAAATCTAAAGAGGAGAAATTCAGACATAAATCGATAGAGAAAGCGCGATAAATCTGGAAAACAACATGCGCAATCACAGAGCATCCTTTTAACCAATACTCCAGATTTTATTTCAGTATTTAATAGTTTAGCGTTTAAAAGATTTCGTGCTCGAGATTCGAAACGTGGCGCTATCAACGGGCACGATATTGACAGTTTAAATAAATAAATAAGATAAAATTTAATCCACAACGATTTGAGACCGACTCTAATTCTGTTAGTGTGCGCGTAGAGGATCAGCGGAAAGAGAAAGCCTACAAAGCATGAATCATTCAATGTTACGGACGATGATCAGCAGCCGTCGAGGCCGTTCGGCGTAAGGTCGAGCGGTAGTAACACGTCGACTCTGCATGAGCAAGCAGTGTGTCTCGGAGATATTTTCAAGCTTTTCAAAGGGTCTACACACACTACGATTTGACAGAAGCGAAGCGGCCGACAACGAATATGAGAATCAGAACGTTCCTGATCACCGTGATTCTGGTTTTATTTGTTTTCGGTAATAAACACACATATGTTACTGTTACAACCAAATGTTACATCATTGCAGATTGCAATTATTGTTGCATTGATAGGTGATACGTTTCTGCACGCGAGAAATATTCAGATTTTTATATGAAGCACCCCCAAAATTCGCCTAAAAGTTTTAATTAATTAAGAATTGGCTCTTGGTAAAAGAATTTTGTTTGAAAAATTGAATTATTAGTAAAATTTTACAGAAGATAGGTTTCATTTACTAATACTAATTATTTATTAAGATATTGACTATGCTTTAAGTTAAAATTCTGTGCTTAAGCAATTTTAAAAAATTTCCTAATTTGAATGCAATATTTTGCAACAATAAAATATTTTTATTAATCTAGAATTGATTTTTTTTTTAGTAAAAGAATTTTGTTAAATTTCTTTTGAAAATTTATAGAGTACTTGATCTCAATTATTTAGTCACCGAGTATTCAATATATAATTATGTTTTAAATTACAATTTTGTTTGCTTTAGTTTTTCGTAGAATCAAGTTTGTGTTATGTATTAACACGGAAACTTAGTTCGCGGAAATTAATTCACTTTCAACAGTATCTATAACAGAGAATTACTAGAGCTAATTTATAGCTCGAGAATTGTTAACAATTCAGGAAACATTATCTCAAAATTGGTCAGAGAATTTTGCCGTATGCAACAAAGACAGAATAAAATCAAGAAAACCAGTTATATCGATAAAAGAAAAAGAGATGAAGGACGCAGTTAATTTAATAAATACATTTGATTTTATATTTAAAAGTGAACTCGTAAGTAATAGTGTGTGTGTGTGTGTGTGTGTGTGTGTGTGTGTGTGTGTGTGTGTGTGTGTGTGTGTGTGTGCGTGCGTGCGTGCGTGCGTGCGTATGCGTGTATGTGTGTGAGAGTAACGTAAATTATATCTAGATTTTTACGACATATAAAATTTATAAATTTTAAAGATCTTTTTAAAAATGTACAAGACTAAAATAAATGCAAGTCTTTTAATTAAACGATAAGAAAGCAGATAAAACGTTCTGAAATCATATAAGATTTATTTAGAACAATGATAAATTAACTAACAGATATAGACTGCGTAATAAGTGAAATCATCAAAGCAAATTGCTCTTCTATGTTATTCATACGTCATACCGCCAACGTATGTTCTTTATATGGTATTATTCACTTGTCGGCATTTATTATAATTGTGTTACTATGCCTATGATGCCAAACTGAAGATTCTCATCGTGCATTAAGAATTATTTTAAGTGTTACCTTACTTAATTTTTACGTTGCACAAATAAGTGAAAAAAGAAATCTTTATACAAATGTAATTTTTTTCAGAAGAATTGTACAGCTTATTAAAAATTGCATATAATTGCAGATATTATGCAAATATGTGTATTTCAAAATAATTATTAATAAAAATTGTCTAAAATTTGAGCTAGTAAAAATAATAATTGGAATGATAATGTAAATATTAATTTAAAATTATTAACGCATATGTCTGGCTTTTGTTTTCATGAAAAAAAGATGATAATACGTGCCCAGTTTATAATTTATAATATATGTTAAGATATTTGTCACTTTAAAATACATATCACATCAGGAAACTGCTTTATTATAAAAATTATAGCGGCCTATAATTACATTAGAAAGAAAGAAAGAGAGAGAGAGAGGAAGGTAAAATTTGATGGACTATGAATATAATATATCCACATCTCCCATACAACGATCTCGTATATTCTACGCAATACATAATATTGAGCCAACAAGAGCCAATCGTTGCTATATTAAATAATAATCTGTTGAAGAACAATGGGCTTGACAATCTGCACCGGTGTCGAATCGCGAGAAATAAAAGAGGACACCAGGTTATATAAATAGCTTGATAGTCACTCAATCAATGTATTTTATTACACAGAATGCTAGGTCTACCTAGCACGATTCATTCTAGCAGAACATGAAGTCCTGTCCCTGATAAAAATTCAAAATATTCATTATCTTTTTTTACAGAGCGGATAAGGATTTTTCTCACGCATTTACGTATAGCTTGTAATCATATTGTAATTTCAGCTATACTTCATCTTTTGTACAACACAAAATGATAGTATAGCAAATTCTCCTTACAACTCACATATTTGCAAAAGCTTCCCTTCCCAAAATGTGGTTAAATGCCATATCGATTTAACTTAATTTCTTTAAAGTAATAACATGCATAAATATGTAATTTAAAGTTATTCTCTTAATTAATGGAATAATGATTAGTCATAATTATAACGTGTGCATATGCACAATTTCGAAAAACATCTGGTTACCTGTTGGAAGTTAAATCTATGAAATTGCTCATATAATATTGTGCTTACAGCAGACACAGATGGCCGTAAAACCAGCGGACGAAGGAGCAGTAGTGGAGGATGGACCTCTTCTCGACAAAGAGGAGGTTCTACGAGAACGACTCAACGACCTCGAGCAACACAGAGTAGTATATATATATATATATATATATATATATATATATATATATGATTATCATTATATATTTTTATCATTATATTTTTACTCGATTTATCATTATTTTTATGTCTATACTCTTATTACTATTATTATTTTATTTTTTATTATATTGTTCAAACTTTATTCTTCGGTTGTTTTCAATATATTGCACCATGTTGTGCAATATTTATATATTAGTTCTATATAAAGATAACTATAGTTAATTTTATAAAAAAAAGAATTCTGAGATCGTCATAACGATCGTCGATTACGTCATAACAGTCTTAAAAGATAATTGAATTGAGCTTCTTTTTATATTTGCAAATTACAGAATTGCGTAGCAGCTTGCAAATATTTATGTATCTTCGCGTTGAATCTCTTACAAATTCGATGAGTCAGTTGCTTCATATAGACAATAGCCTTCTACGGCTTCGCATGTTTCATGTGCTTTTTATGCTGGATACCATTTGTTTTTGATAACATTGTAAATCCTGTTACGCTCGTAGGTCCGACCAGTAGAATAGGATGGAACGTGCCGCCAAACAACAACAATAAAGCACCATCTAGCACCAACAGTGCCAAACCATCGGCTCCGGTATCCGAACATGCTTCCAAAACCAGCGCGACGAATGTGCAATCGGGATATCCGTCGGCGAATAATAATCCGCCACCATACACTCCATCGGGTATATTAATTATTCTTTCATATTCTAGAGTAACGAAGAAAACGAGCGAATTTAGATTTCTGTGGAAAGGACAGTTTCGTTAAGGCAAATAGCACGACAGCCAAATACCGATCTGAAAATCATTTTGTTGGATTACAAACTAATTACCCGTGGTGCTCAAATAAATTGCTAAAATATCAAAAGTTTTTGCGATATTATTATTATTATGCTGAAGCGTCTTATATAATTATTAACAATCCAACAAAATCATTTTTAGATCTATATCTGGCCCAATTTTTAGATACTTCGGCAAAATTGTCCTTTCAATGTACCGTGGATATCCGAGAGCGAGATCTTTACATTTTTTTGCATCAGAATGCAGAATATGTATAGAACTTGCTAAAATTAAATCTTATTTCTTTTTTTTGAGTCAAAACGATTCGCGATTTTTGTGCTTCCACTATCTAATTGCCATCTAATTTTGTTTCAACTTTACATATTTATAATCCTCGATTTCCAGGTGGATATCCTCGGCAGCCAGCCAGCAATCCTTACGGAGGCGCGGGTCACCCACCCAACCAGGGATACCCGTCCCCCAACATGAACCCCTCGTATCCCGGTTACGGTGGTCACTCGCCCTACGGCCAGGCATACAATCCATCTATGCATCACAACGCACCACCAGCCTACAGTCCACCTTACGGCGGCCACTCCTACGGCGGTGGTGGTTTCCCGCAGCAATCGTTCGGTCAACCGTCCTACGCCCAGCCGTCCTACGTTCAACCGGCCATCGCGCAAGCGCCGGCGCTCACCGTGTTACAACCGAGCCGACCTGGCATCGGTCAGCTGGCCAAGGAAGCCCTGGTTTACTCCAGCGTGAGCGCGGGCGTGAGCGCGGCCGTCAACAGGCTACTTCCGGGTGGCATCTACGGCCATAGTCCGGGATACGGCGGCAGCAGCAGCAGCCCCGCCGGTAGCAGCCGCACCGAGATCACGTACAATAATTATTATTACAATCAGTCGGCGCCCGCTAACGGGGAAACGCCCGCGGCGGCGTCCGCGGCGGCACCGGCGAACAATAACGCACCTGCTGCCGCCAACGCGCCCGGTTCCGCGGCGCCCGGCGTTCAGCCGCCGCCGGAAGCGGACAATAAGAAGGCCGAGGCCAACGCGCCTAGCAATGCCGGAAACCCGCCCAATCCGCCGCCGAGCGGCGAGCCGAGCAAGCCGAATTATCCGATCTCCAATGAGGAGGTGAAGAAACTGTCGGAAAGCCTCTTCGAGGCGGACAAGAACAACGCGTATAAATACGTCACCGTGAATCTGCAGGGCGAGACGAAGGAAGACGGCACTTCGGATGACGCTTCTCTGCCGTAAGTTGTTGACGAGATTCACGTTACCCGTCCTCCCTTCCTTGCAATCTAGGTTAATATATGAAGAGAATCTGCTTCGCGAATCTGGCGAATCTAAAAATTTGATCTAAGAGATAGATCTGAATAATTTTGTTGGACTATTAAAATTATTATATAAGACATAATAATAATAATAATAATAATACTGCAAAAATTTTTGATCTTCTAACAATCATTATGAATGTTGTATATAATAACTTCGAAGGCCCAACAAAATTATTTTAGATCTGTATCTGATCAAATTAGATTTGCCAATAAAACTGTTCTTTCCATATAATTATCCGCATTCTATTTTTTCCTTTTTATTCTTAGACTGAGATTAAAACATTTACGAGTATATCGTTTTCAATATAGTCTTCTCGCTTTTACAACCATCTTTACGTTCTCAACGAGAAATGTTTTGCTTGTTCTTTCAGCATGATGCATCAACTGTTTCTCGTTCCAATTTTAGAAATAGAATGCGGATAATTATTGGCTTATCCTTGTAATTTCGCGCACCACCATGAGTTTCAACGATCTCATTTTAATATAATTCCAGCCTGCTGGACGTCAAACCGGAAGCGTATGAAATCCCGACGATCAAAAGCGTGCTGGCGTTGCACGATAATTACGAGATAGACGTTAAAATGAAGGAAACCGTCACGTCCGAGGAGCGTAAGGAGGAAAACGAGTTGCTCGACAGGTTCTTGGAGACCGACGTGTTTAAAGCGGCGATGAAGTTCCTAGTTGACAAGGGATTCGTCCCGAACGACGAGTACGAGTTCAAGGACACTCTGAAACGTATCTGGTTCTCGCAGTTCCAACGGGTTGAGGGAGAGCCATCGAGTTCCGGCTTCGAGGCGGTATTCCTCGCAGAAAAGCTCGATTCCTACATGATCGGGCCGCAGAATTGGATTTACTTTGCCAAGCAGGAAGCACAAAAGAATATCGACTACAAAGGATACATAAAGGACATCAAACTGGGAGATGTGAGTCACGCGTTTTATGATATCCTATATTACAATATCATAATGTTCCTGTGTGTTAATAACATCATTTATGTTTCTTTTTGTCTTTGCAGAAAGGAGAGGCTATCAAGATACGTTCGGCGTTTAATATACCAGACACGAAACATTCGGTCACGACCCTCCTCGTAGGACTCTCACCCGAGTTGGAGATGGCTCTTTACACAATGTGCTTCTACTTGCGCCCGAACGACGTTTGTCCGATTTCATTAGGCGGAAAAGACATCAATCTAGTTTCTACCGGATTCAACTACTACGGCAAAGACATTTTGATTGCCGGCTTTATCGCGGGATGATTAAAATCCTTTTGAGATTTTTTATAAGTTGCACGATTTAAATCAAATAGATATTCAAGAAAATGTTCGAATAATTATTTTACATCTGGTTAACTCGTAAATCAAAATTTTTATGATTATTATGATATTGCTTTTAGTTTAATATAATATATATGTTATATTTGTTCAGCATGATATTGAAAAGTTTCTCATATCTTCATATCTATGCATCGAATCTGTATGAATTTATTTTGGCGCAGAACCATGCGTGATCTCTCTCTCTTTTTCTTTCATTGCTCATAAACTTATCTTTGTAATAAAATTGAAAAGAGTATTATAATGTGTACCTCAGGTATCCTGATGTTCCTTTTCTCCAGTTCCGCAAATTCCATCACGGGTATTATAGTCGGTCGTCCATGTGCACATCGATTAGGAAATTTCGTATGCTTTAATAATTTTATAAGATTTGTACACTGATCCAGAGTTAATTTATGGCCGAATTTGATGGCACCTGAATTTGATGGAAAAAGTTTCAAGAAATTAGTGAAACAAAAGAAGAAAAAAATTTGTAAAATAACTAAATACATCCATGATGTGATGTTCCAAATTATAGGGTATGAATCTTTGTTGTAATAAAAACAATATGTATGTGTATATGACAATTATAAAAATTTTATGAAATAATATTTGTGTACCATGACAAGCCTCGGATGCTATCGCATTGTAGATAGTCGATGGTAATTCATTTGTTCGATTTAATGTACTAAAGTTTTTTAATATGTCATTGAATAGATCATAAATCTTTGGCAATAACTTTTCACCGTCAGAGGGATAGTTATTCGTAATTAGACACTGCGGTATTGTGCGTATCAATAGCATGCCTTCCTTTGACGATCCTAGATTTAAGCCATATTTCTTCAATAATATTTTATTGTGCAGGAATAAATGACACGTTTCTGTAGGAAATTTTATGGCCAGAGGATCACGCAAATTAACAGAGACCAACTCGCTCTCGTTCTGCGCTTTGTATTCTAAATAATAATAATAATAATAATAATAATAATAATGATGATGATGATGATGATGATGATGATGATGATATGATAATAATTAAAGGCTTAAAAAAGTTGTAATGTTCTATACTATTTTTTACACTATTTAATTAATTTTAATTATTCTATTATAATATTTATTTATATACTTGTTGATATCTCATTATAAAAAAATTATATCTTGTCAGGATGAAAATATTAATGCTCACCAAAAAGTAAGTTTTCGTAACGTATTCTTTCATGGACAGCGTGTTGATCTATCATCAATAGAATTTTCCTTCCATCGTACGTCATCCACGCGGCGATAAATTCATCATTAACTTGATTAATGATCTACAGAGTAAATATATTTCTCAAAATAATTTCTATAATAATATCTTTACTTCAGAGAATTTAGAATAGCTTTTAGAATAACTTTTAAAGTTTTATGGATTTACCTTTATACACTTTAACGAGGCACGTGACAATCTAAATTCACACAATTTTTGCTTTAACTGACAAGGATGCACCGCTGCATGTTCATATTGCCAGTTTTCAGTAACTATATGGATTTATAATATTTATTTTTACTGACTTATTCGTACTAACTTTTATACAGTTAAATAGTACTATAGTTATATTGTCTAAAATTATCCAAACTGTAACTTACACTATACAAACTCTAACTTACACGGAATCGTATCATTGGGACTGTTGAAGCATTTTACGTTTGTCAGTTTAACGTGACGATGCTGCAGAAGACCGTGCAATTTTCGTGGCAGAAAATCAAACTGATTTTTAAATTCGAATAATCGTTGGATACGCGCGTTATTTTCGGAAAGTATGTCATGTGAATTTCTCATAGCCTCGCCTTTTCCCTTCTTTGTATAATAAGTCCAATTCGACCACTCAGAAAGAGGAGAAATCATGTTTGCAGAATCATTGTTATTATCATTACGATAATCGTGAGCTTTATCGGATTTAGGAAAGTTGAAATTATCTGTTATATCAAAATTAATGAAACTTGTTTGCGCGTTATCAACATTATTATGTACTTTTTTTCTGGCTTCACCAAAGTTTTTATATTTTACAGAAGTACGTTTGCAAGTGATGTTTGTTCGACAGTGAAGGCTACTTAATATGCCATTTTTCTTGTCCGTGTAATAATTGATGGTTTTGACATTATCGCTTCTATTATGCTGTTTATTGAAGCAATCGGTTACAATTGTCGACGTAATTTTCTTTCTCTTAATCATGACTATTTTTTTACGTCCATTGATGTTATTATTAAAAACAGATCTCTCGATTTCTTTCGTATACGTTTGTCTTAAGAAAGGCGTTTTATGTAAATAAGGAGTAACAACAGGCAGGAAAGAAATTGTCGCTTCTTCCGCGAGACATTCGAAGGTGCAGTTTTTGACGGTATTCAATATTTTTTGTATATCATAAAACATGACGTAGCACTTTGCATTTTCGGTAACGTACGTGAATTCTTTTTGTGAAAATGTGAGAAAAAGAAGAATAAACATATTTTTATCATACGAATCTGGCGCGTTGGATTCCCGATTGGAAGACAAGCCGAGCTTTTCTTTGAATGCAACTTTAATTAACTTGAGGATAAGGGGACAACGGATTGGCTTGTGATTTAAAAATATCCACTGCACCGCGTTCTTATCGGACAATCCCATGTAACCATAATAATTCGTGCTATATTCTGAATTGCATTGTATCGTCCATACACGATGCAACGATAGATCTCTCCCAAACAATATTCTAAGGACCCCCATCGGGCTGTGCGGTTTCGCAATTCTCAAAATGACTTTCTTCCGTTCTTCGTCTCGAATTGAAAACGATACCTGATTACATCAATGGAAAAAAAAAAACATGGTCGAAATAAATAGTTCCAACTGTGGTCATAGATTAAATCGTACCTCTAAATTTTTTACAGCTATAGCCGCAACAAGAAAACAAATGCCGAATGTATTCCATTGTTCACGCTGTGATATTTCGTGAAAACCGAAGACAGACACTGTCGTGCCACGCGAAGGTCTCTGCTCTATTTGCTTCAAATTGGACGTTAGATTCATTCCGAATATCTTGAATAAGAACCATGAAGTTCATTTTTTGAAAGTCTAAATAAATCTAATATTAAATTAAATTAAATTAAATTTAATAATTTAAAATTGATTCAACTTAATTTAAAGCTATATTTAATATTAAGAGAAATCAAATTGCATTTCTAATTATTTTCACCTATATTTTAATAATTTAGTAATGATATATAATAAATTATATATCATAAATATAATAAATTTATCTTTTAATAACTTTTAATGAAGGAATACCTTCATAAATGTCCCCTCTGAATATTGATGCTTGGAGGCAATAGTAAGACAATCGGACAGACGACGGATATCCATCAACATGCGATGGTTCGATTCAGATAGATTGTATACCTGTTGCTGATCGCCCACAACTTCTGCATTGCATTCCGCAATGCGTTTTAGCATGTCTTCTGGTATCCCGACGCCATTGTCGATAACCTGAATTTTTCGTTGTCCCGCATGAATTCTCACTGCAATCGCTGCAGCATCCGCGTTCAAAGAATTTGCTATCTGAAATGTTTTATATTATTCGATCCTTTCTTGATCGAAATAAACAATAAATACAGGAAATTGACGAGATATTGAACACAAAAATGGTATAATAATAATTTTCTTCTATGTGGCAATATGGCGCGTGCATTAAAAAATACAGTTCGATAATTAACTTAATGTTGTAATTCGCATTGACAAACAAAGAAATTAGATATCTTCCGAATAATGATTGCAAATAAGAATCTAATATTTATATTTTTGTAAGCAACAGCCATATTTAAAAATATATAAAACTTAATTTAAAAATATATTAAATGCCATATTTAATTTAACGACATATTTAGAAATATATATCATGCGTATATGATAGACAAAAATAGAAATGTGTGTTTTTACATAAAGTATTTTTCATATTATTTATCCGTGACGTAACTTTATCTAATATTCTAATATTTTAAGTCGATGCATTATTATCTGCACAACTTGTGATAAAAATTATAATCAATGATGAGAAATGGCGTACCAGTTCTAAGATGCATCGTTCGAAAGATGCAATATTTGTCGACATTGTCGACATTTCTGTCACTGATTTTAAATTATCCTGCATTGTTCGAAGTAACGAGGAACGAAGTTAAGTTAAAGAATGAGACGCAATGGAAGCGCGCCACTCTTCTCTCGGAAGAGATTTTTATTATGGCGCCAATTTGAAATCTAGTTACATCGCTTGCGCGATCTACACCTTTTACATCTCCCGCAATCTCCTTGAAAGGACGTAAAAAGAATAAAAAAGCGGAAATATATAACATATATACGAATTACATATAATAAATGAAAGTTTTCTACATAAAAAGAATACAAATATATATATATATATATATATATATATATATATATATATATATAGCGTATACAAAAATGTACAAAATGCGTATATGGGATAAAAACGAATAGTCTTGAAGACATGTAGAACATAAAAAGGTCTACTGCTGTGCAAACTGTAATGCAGGCGATTTTAGATTTCTGCATCATAACGATTCGAAAGCAATACAAAATGAACGTTTGGATTTTCAGAAAGAATCGAGTGGAGGAAAAAGAATAAATAGCGCTCAGTCGCGAATGTATTTATAAAAATCTCTTTATTCTTTTTTTTTCTTATTGCATCTACTAAAAAGTTCCTGCATTCGTATCTCCTTCAAAATGCTATGTATAATCCTGGGAAAGAAGTATGGCTCTCTCTTTTCTTTAATAACAAATGCCGAGACCGCGATAACTTAATATTAACATTCGAGTAACTTTACACGTTCCTCCGCCCTGCGTTCGGCAGGTGGTTCTAAGAGTATTTAATATAATTTATTTAACATCCCTTTCCCTTTCCGGGCGAGGACGCAACTAGGAGAAACTTTAATCGTAACGATTATCGCACTAAAAGGATCTCGGTAGCTTTAATGAGAGATCTCAATAAAGTCGCTACCAGTTATATTTTTTTCCTTAACAATCCTCGTCAATATAATAAATTTGCGAACGGTTTTTGAAATTAGTATACTGTTAATTATGTATAAAGACATTACAGTTTTCTTCTTATCACTTATAGTTTAAATTATTTTGGTACATGGAAACTTAACAAACACAGCGGATATAAAAATAGTTTAAGTCGCACACACACACACACGCACGCACGCACGCACGCGCACACACACACACATATATATATGTACATACATATATGTACATATATGTATATATGTTACATATATATGTGTATATATATATATATATTAGATATAAGACACATGAGGAAAACACGAAGTATATTGTTCTACTCCGATTCGTCAATTTTTATGCTATGAATATATCTGCGTATCATTTACAAAGTAACATTTTCTCTGATAAAACCATTAATCACGCGTATTACGTAAAATAATTGTATATATAATTATAGCAATATATGTACGCATATCGCTATAAATTTGATACAATTGCATCATCCAGTGTTCAAAAATTGAGATAAAATTGAACTTAACTCAATAAATCTGCTCAATAAATATTTATGGATATAAATATTTATGGATATAAATATTTATACTCAATAAATATTTATGGATATATTGTAAAATAAAGCATTTGATATTTTGAGTAGAGCAAATTTTTTACAAAATTCAGTACAAAAAATAGATTAATCATCATATACATCATCTTTCAATACAATACGTATGCATAATTTCAATTTCAGAAAATATAAATAGAATTCTTTTTATATAGCAATTATGGAACACTGGTTGCACATGGCCCTTTCCTTTTCCTCGTCAAGTAAATTACTTATCTGCATTGTGTTTAAAGTTGTAAATGTACAATCTTTCAATGAAATTATCTTACTGAACAAAAACAGAGTTTTATACATAGTTTTAACATAATTTTTATGAAAGACTCTATAAATTAACAGCATACTCTTTTCATTAGCAACGCTTTTTTAAATTTACGCTTCGTTTTCAGATTACATTTGTAACAGAGAATTTTTATTATGATTTGATATATTAAACATATTTAATATATCGCGAGCACATACTAGATATATTCAATAATTATAAGAAATAATATAAAATACAACATGTTTTTTTCTTTTGGAGAAGCGAGCTTGGAAGAAAAATGTAATTGAAATTTAATTTCTAAATTAATCTATACATAGAAAAAAAAGCATGAAAATATCGAATGGAAAAGCTCGCTATATAGTATATAATGAATTTACTGTAAAATTATGGTAATAACAATCACATATCGAGTCATCTATCAACGAGATATAACACACATGTTAAAATGATGAGACATAAATAATTTAGGGGCATCACCAAGTATCTTGACGCTAGTATAGCGTTGAAAAATCATGTAACATTAAAAATATATATATATATATATATATTTATATATATATATATGTATAAATTGACGAGTTATTCCTATAAATATCTTCTAAAATCTGCTGTCATAAATCAATCACTTACAAACAAATTCGCGATTTATTCCAACTTTAGGCACCAATGGTATGCAGACCCTGTCTTTGGTACATATGACCGATTCGATTTGTTTACATCTGAATAAAGAAGACGGACTATCACAGTCTTCTGCATCTGAATATAGTTATTTCATAGCGATTTTATCGTATGGATACTTTGTCCTTTCATTTTCCTTCGTTCTCTTGCACATGCAATGCGACGAATTTTATTATTACATTTTGTTTATCAGTGTGACACAGTCCTAAAGCACGTGTTCATTAACAAAAAGCTCAGTCTTCTTCCTTCTTCTCTGGTTTCAAGTCTACCATTGCGTGTATCTCGTCAGGACTGTATCTGTAAACAAAAGAAAAATGATATAATAATCAACATTATACTTTCAACTTTCAACAAAGACTTGATAACTATGTTAAATATAATTTGAAAAATACAGATTCTATATGAATTTATTAAAATATATTATTTAATAAAAATGATATATGTAAACTTATCAATAATACATAATACATAATACATAATACGCTAAGTATATTTAAAATTGTTAATTATAAATATATTTATATTTACCCTAGTAGACTTTGTAAGTCGCATACAAAGCGGTATACGTATCGCTTGCCAGCAGTTTTGTGTATAATGTTCTTGTCATAGTAATAGCGTAAGCCTCGGCTCAGTTTCTCGTAATTCATCTTGGGTTTATTCTTGCGAATACCCCAACGACGAGCAACTTCATCCGGATCGGTTAGTTTGAATTCCCAGCCATCGCCGGTCCACGAGATAAAACCTTGACATGTTTTGTCAGTTAAGAGCTCCAGCAGAAATTGCCAAAGCTGAATCGGACCGGATCCAGTAAAGCATGGTGGACCACCACCTAAAAAAAAATAGTCATTTTATAAATATTGCTCGTCAAAATTTAAACATACATTTTTTCGATTAAAAGTAACAAATAAGTTTTAAAAAATTTTTATTGATATAAACAAAAAAATACAAACTATTAATATCATTTTTATAATATATCAAAAAAATATTTTTGAATGCTTATTTGTTCTTGTTATTTTAATCGAAGAAATAAATGTGTACTCACATTTTTGACAAGAGATACATTTAATTGACTTAATGTTAACATTAATAAAACAACTAAAATAAAACAACTAAATAAAAAATATTTAGCGTAAAATATTTAGTATAAGTTTGAAATATATAGACAAATTGTGAATATTTACCTGGATAACCGGTTAACATTGAGCTTTGCAGCAATGGTTTTTGGTCGGCATTATTGCCGATGGATGTGGGATGATGAGGATTGGAAGAGTCTCGTGGCCCGAGTCCCGCAAGAAACGCGGGATGATGAGGCAGGTGATCCCCAAGTCCGACACCCCATTGGTCACTGCCGACGCCGCCGCCTCCAGCACCGCTCCCGCTTCCGGGAACCGTTTGGAACGACGTTGCATCGTATTGCCCGTATCCACCGCTCTCACTGTAACCCTCGTGATAGCGTCCTGTGGAATAGATATATATATATATAAGAAAATAAAAGATAAGAAAAAAGATAATATAATAAGAAAAAATAAAATAACAATAAGCTAATAGCTTCATCAAGATAATATAATAAGAAAAAATAAGATAACAATAAGAAAAAAAAAAATCTCATTTCAATATTAATAAAATTCTAGTCCAATATAAATACATGAGAAAAACAAAGAAGAAAACTAGAGCTTTAATCTTTAATTTTAATTTTAATTGATAATATATTTTAATATACAGCATGTTTCTAAATTTCTTATAATAGTCTCCTCAGAGTTAATTTTTGACATTATAATAAACAAAAAATTTGGCTTTATTTATGGTAAAGAGTTCGCTTTAGAAATGTGTCAAAGATATTTAGAAACATTTTGTATATATTTTGTGTACTAATCATAGTATTTGGAGAATTTATATTT